GCAGGGCTTCTCCTTGTGGCCACTTATCTGGTCTTTCTCTCACGGATGTAGTTTTCAATTTTCTTAAGACTTAATAAGGTCCTATGATTATCCTATCAAGATGGCCTATTAAGATCTCCCCACTGGAACCCCACCCCACAAAGTCACCATAACCTTCTGAGCTGACCTCTCTGCCTTGAATGTAACTGCCCACTTTGATTGGATTGTGTGATGGCTCCCTGACAAGGCTAGGATAAGTGCATTACTGAGCGAGCCTATCTGCAGCCATTCGCTGATCAGAGGCCTGTTTCAACACATTTTGTTTGGAATAAATCTGCACCTGTATGGACTGCAATGTGAGTAGCAGTACTTTTTACTTGCCCTCGTATATATTTAATATATTGAGTTTGTGAATTATCTCATATTCACATAATTCATTAATGATTTCATTTGTTAAGTAAGTGTAAATGGTTTGTCTCTACCTTTCTGTTTACCCCCGAAATGATTAAAGTGTTCTGGCAAAGCCATCGAACCCACCCAAGTCCTGGTGGAGTGGTGGCAGCAAGTGAAGCCAACATAGTCCATGGACAGTTAACAAGTTTCCACCGGTGAGAAGTTCCTCTTCCTCCTTGGAGAAAAGAACCAGAACCCAAACCCACTGCCCCAGAGCTTCTGAGACGGGAATTCTTTATCGAAGCAGGTGGCCTCACCTTTCTCCGAGTGGCTGGAGGACTTGAATCACCGGCCTCACGGGCAGCCACCATGTGATCCACAGCACCACCAAGGCGCCTTTGGAGAGGGGAGCAAAGTCCTAAGTAGCAGGAGCCTTTGAGGAAAAGGAAGCTGACCTAGACTGGGCCCTAGACCATCAAGGTAGGCTTAGGCTAGGGGAGCTTCCCTGGAGGGCTCTCAGGACTGGTTCAGAGCAGGAAAAAAGGCCACCTATCAAGAATTAGAGACCCCCTCAGTTCCAAAGCAGGCAATACATGTGCAGCAAGGACAGGGCACTACTACACACATTCTGTTGCCAACTGCAAGCGGTCCAAATCCCTCTCCAGTCAGGGCACAAACCTCAATCTTGACATCAGCTCCACAGATCGACATGCATTTGAGCATGTCCTCACAGGCTTGGCAAAGATGGCTTTGTCCTTTCTCTCCTTTGTCTTTGATGAACTGGGTAAGTTTCAAGTTTTGAAAATGTGCCGACTGATCAGCTGACAAATATTTATGGAGTAGCTTTGACATGGAAAGGTATCACAAAAGATGCTCAGGGAACACAAGGAAAACAAACACGGGCCCCGCCTCAAGGATTGCAGACAGACAGACGCAAACGATGAACCATAAACAGTTTTATTTGGGTTGGTAGGTGACGAGAGCGGTATTAAATATGCAAAACTGGGGTTTGGGCGGGAGAATCAAAACATTCGTAACAAAACTCATCACCGGCTGCTCCTAGGTTCAAAACACCCCGTTTTGAAAGGTAAATACATAAACTTGCAAATGCCTCGTCATTCTTTATCATCCCAAAGTCTCTAAAATCACACGAAGTAAGACCTTTACGGACTTGCAGATCTCAGAGGAAGGCAGCAAAGGGCCCAGATCTACCTTCCAGGTCAAACGTAAAACCCAATCTTCCTCCAAAGACGAACAGTGATCCCAAGTCCTTTGAGCTGGAGCCCCCTGAGCATCTTACCACAATGAGAAACAAGGAGCCAATTTTTCTTGCCTATAAGGCAGACACTGAATCAGTAAAAGTCAAAGTGTTTTCAAGTTGGGAGATCCTTGTGACCCTAAGGTATACAAGGAATCTGATAGATATTAAAGTGCCCAAGTAAATGCATTTAATTATTAAATGCTATTTAATGGAATTTGCATACTTTTATAATCTGTGAATAGCAATTGGCAATATGTACCCTTAACTGTGATTTTCCACTTGTTAGCAGAGGGCAAGCTGTTTCTAGCATCGTTCGCATGGAATACATGCTACCACGAAATGTTGCCTTCATCTCAACACGTATCGAACGTGCAGGGCTCCGTGAGCCATGTACACTTCTGCCTCTCCAGTTGGTGAAATGCTGAGACGCCCGCCCCCTGGGAAGGCAACCCTACGTGGTAGCTGAAGATTGAGGAAAGGGAAGGGTGTTATTGGTAATCAGCTGTCAAAAGATATGAGACTAGAGATGTTGCGTCTTCTAGAACACACACGTCTACTGGATGAAGTTAGTCCTTCCAGACAGGATAATCTGAACTATGTAGGTTCAAAAGTCTGTCATGAAAGTGACAACCCTTAAGCTGATTTGAAAAAGCTGAGTCAAACCAGGTAAAATGATCCTGTAAAAATGATTTTTTTCCCCATGAGATTATCACTCAGCCACTTTGGGATTTCCTTCTACGTCTCATCTTCATTCTGACATAATCGGATGCTATGACAAACCTGAGCCTCTATCAATACAGAGTTCCCCGAATTAGAAAAGTTCTTTTGTCCAGTCCAACACTTTACTGACCAGAGGGGCTGTGGGGTACAACTCTTTAAATGATGGGCCAATGACAAAGTTGGCAGGGGGAGATTTAGCTTTTTAGAGGACAGAAAGATCTCAGAGGTCACCTTTCCAGTTCACGGAAAACGGTGATGAGCCCAGGTACCACGTCCGGGGGCTTTCCTTTCCTGATGTGCCACCTTCCCCAAAGCCTCACCCGAGTTACTCAACATCCAATGCCAACTTTCTGATAAAAATTATTTTTGCTCAAAAAATTTCATATATATTTTTTTAATTTTCATATTTTTATGAAAAATAATTTCCTTGGTCTCACTTCCAAGAGGCAGTAGTTGGATGCCAGTAGTGTACTTTAAATAACACCTGAGCACATTATAAGGCTGCTTGTTTTCACAACTCATGTTCAACACGAACTTTTGCCTTCCTTGTAGTTTTTTGAAGAGTTCTTCAGTATGGGAATTCTCATTTGTGAATGATGGGCTCCCCTACCATTAACCTTAATTTGATATTATATGAGGTAATTTGAAATCTTTAGTTTGAGAGCCTGGTATGCGTACATCGTGCCTCTTCTGAGGGCGCACAGATGGATACTAACTCTAGGACTCTAGTGCCATTGAACAGATGTTCTCCTGTGGGCCCTCCGCTGCCTCACTGGGTGAATGACCCTCCAGCGGGGCATCCGGGAGAAGGTGATGTGAAGGTAGCATCTGGACCAATGTGTATGTAAGGTGAATGGCAGAGTCACCTAGGACAAAACTTTCCTGTGAAGTAGGCCCTTGCTCTTAGTAGGATACTGCATATTTTGTTCACTTAAATAAATCAGACCATTTTTTAAATGTGACTAAAATCACCATTGCCTTTAGACTAATGCCAACTAGGAATCAGGAGCTAAGAGTTTTATAGGATTTAAGAGATACTTAAAAATGATTTGGCTGTTTCAGATTTTGATTGGTTTTGAAAAGCACATATATATTTTTTAATGGCATTTCAGAAAATGTGGACTCCATTCTTCAGAGGTGTAGACTACGTCTCTCTCTCTCTCTCTCATTGGAGTGTCCTGTTCATTGTAGCTGATGGGGGGAACCAAGTAACAAGCAGAGGGCTTGTCCCTGTTTAAGGGTGCTTCCAGAATCCAGGTTTTGCTGAGGATACCCTAAGCACAGGGTAATTCTGGGGCCCCTCAAATCCTCAGTGGTCTTGGGGAACCCAAGGCAGGCCAGGATATCCAAGAGTGCAGCTCTGCACCTTGGCTGACCCTAGACAGCTCATCAATCCAGGAATAAGTTCCGGAGTCCTCCGGGCCTTCTGAGCGGGGTTAGGAGGGCGCTTCACGAGGGTTCTGCAAAGAGTCCATTTTCTTTTAATTCCAGTTTTCCCATGAACTCTCTGAACTTCCCTCATAGGCTAAAATAACTCAAGTAAAAATGTCTGTTTTCACTAAGAGGTATTATCGAAAAATCTGTGTCCATGCTGTAGAATGCAACACTCACCCCCCACAGCAACATTTAAACCATCCGAGAGCAGACGCTTCCAGGTCAGCAGAGGAAGTGCCTTTCAGAGCCCACATTGCATGGTGACTTCAGATCGGAAGAAAGAAGTGGTGAGTTCTGGGCAGAGAAACGAGGTACGAAGAAGGCTTACGCTTGTCTGTTGAATAGCCAGATAGACGAACAGAGTAAAAACACAATAAATCTGTATGTGTGCGTGTCTGTATAACATTTATAATTATTTAACTGAAACATTTGAAAAATATGAAACCTATCTGTCTCTAAAATTATCACTGATCCAATCTTATACCAACCTCAAACCAAACCTACTGTCATCAAGTTGATTCTGGCTCACAGTGGCTCCTACCTAGGGTTCCCAAGGCTCCACCTCTTTACAGAAACTGACAGCCTCAACTCTCTCCGATCTAACAGTTGGTGGGTTTAAACCGCTGACCGTGCAGTTAGCAGCCCGATGCTTACCAGACAGCGCTACCATGGCTCTGGCTTTCCAAAGGTCCCAACGCTCCTTTAACGAGAAACTCCCACTTTCCTTAAATTTGTTCATTATAGGGGGCTTACATCTACTTTGTCGGTCGACACAAAGACCTTTTTATTCAGCTGTTCCCTTCTACTCTGGCCCACCCCCGCCCCATCACACACACTCAACCAGGTTATTTCAACCCTTTCATTACCCATGGTACGTATTGTGACCACCTACATTTTTCATCTCTGGAGTTGAGTGGGAAGCTGCTACCCCATTTATAGAGTAAACCACTTCTATAACGGCGTGAATCTGAAGAACCAGCCTCATCCCCCTAACCTGACACTAGAGACCCCTCTGGACATCGCATCCAACTAATAGTATAAACCCTTATTAATGGGGGTGTGGGGGAGAGAGATATGCCTTCTATTTACTGAACACATGGTTTCAACCAAAAATTCAAGGCAGAAAATAAGTTGGTCTTGAATTATTTCCCTGCAAATCCAAAGCTAGATTCCAAATCTGACAAATATTCCAATTCATGACACACCTAGCACATCATCTATATTTGTACATTTTATTTAAAAACAAACAATACACTTTGAGCCACCAAAAAATGGATATCTTAATTAGCTTATCCAGACCCTGAATTTACAAAAGAAACTTCTTGCACCACAAAAATTAGCATTTGGATTAATTTACATTAATTGACGACTAAATTTTAAAATACCTGAAAGATCAAACCATCTGGCCCAGGGCTCACCAAGGTGGTTGGAGAAGGCAGGGGGAGGAAAAAGAGGTTCTTTAGGAAGGTGAACTGATAAAGTCCTAGGGTCAATAAAAGTACAATGAAGTCCGGAAGACAGGAAATAATCAGGAGATTTCAGTATTACAAAATGGTTCTTCCTAAGAGCAGGTTCTAGAGACCACAGAGTTGGAATGGACCAAAAAGAAAGCACATGGAGAAGGGGGGCTGCAATGCTTTACTCATAAGCAAACATCAGCTAGAGTGAAATGAAAGGAGGGAGGGAAGGAATGTGGTAGACCCAAGCCTTTCTGACTGTGAGACTACCGAATTCAGCAGCTCTCTACAAGTCAATTAAAAATACCATTCTCCAAGACATTTTCAGAGAGGAGCTAACACACAACCAGGGAAAAATCATTCTACTTTAACAAGGCACTCACTGGTTCACAGCCTGTTATAAACCCAGGCAGACATTAGAGTTACTCTAAATTAAATGGAACGTTCTCATTTGCATCAGAAGGATGACAAACACGTGGTCCCAGTTAAATCGAACCTAAAGTTTGACTAGCAGAGATCCAGCACAACCCGACCCCTCAGCACCACTACAGGAATACTGCTGTGGAACCCAGCGGGCCTCTACTAGACCGCACATCTGCCCTTTTCAGATTTAAAAAAAGACCGAACAAATGCAAAGGATCTGTTAAATACACTGTCATTCTGATGTCCTTCACACTGACATAGAGATTAGTTGGATGAGGGTACGGCCAATTGAAAAGCTTTGAATGGCAAGAGTAAAATGGTTAAAATGACTTACTAATGACATAGCCTTGTTTTTAAACACAGATATGTGCATTTTCTCAACCTTCCCCTCAAGGGGAACTTTTGGGACAAATACATTACATACATGTAATTTCTGTCAGCTATTACTTAGTAAAACCTGAATCCCAGTGTCGAACATTAAAGTAATACGATTATATAAATTACTAAACAAGTAACAGAGTAGTGGAGGCAACCTCTGAGTAAATAAAATAAAGGGTTATGCACATAATAGTTTTGAAATCGATTTCAATGGATACACTGCAGGAAATTATACCTAGAGATCCTTTTCCATGTAAATTCATTAACAGTTTGGCTCTTTGTTGAAATTATCACATAGACACACAATTTGAAATTAACTATCTTCACTATCAACAGTGATGGTTAATTTTAAGCAATCCTTTCCAAGAGAAACCAAAATTAATTCCAAGTCTTTTGATCTGATGTGACATTAGGCAAATGAAACTTAGATAACAAAAACCTGAGAAAAGCACCAATATAGATTTTTAAATTGCATCCAACCATCATTTCAGATGTCATACAGATTTGCTTCTGTTAAAACGGCAGCAATAACAAAGAGGTAGATATGAAAGATGCCATTTAAATACCTAAGACTACTCTGCAGGTGAAATTTCAGGTGTTTGATCTAAAAAGAACTTTTAAAGGCGGAATCTTCATCAGAGAATTTCATGATATACTCTAGTGTAAAGGAAAATACCTATGAAGTACTAAAAAGGTGAGCCTTAAAAAAAAGTAATTTAGCCGAAGTGAAATAAGATTCCATAATTTTGGTGAACCAATTAATTTCTTCTTTGACCCAAACCTGACTAGAATGAAGGAATAGTTTTTGTTTTTCCTTACTGAAATTTCTAAGAATTCACATTCAAAATACTTGTATATGTGGTGCTCAGAAGAGCACCACGACAGCGCATGGAATGTCCCCTGAACCCCCACAATTTGAGCAGACACATTGAAAAGACATCGATGATCACAAATCAGGACCTTCACAGACTGACAAACACACCCCAATGCACACACACTCACTCTCTCATCCCCGCCCACCCGCCACACAAATTCAGTCCTCATCCTCACTGTAAGGCTGCATTTGTGTTTTTGAAAGGCACCTCTCATTCTCTAGCTATTGCCTTTTAAAGATTTCTGTTTTGTTAAAAAGTCTGATGGAAATATTTCAATGGAAATCGATCAGTACTGAGAATGGAATATTTTTTGATTCACATTTGAATAGCCAGGTTTTCTTACATTCAGATTTTAATAAACTAGAATGACAGTCTTTAAAACAAGCATGCTAGCCTATAATGAATATAGTATATACAGTAACTTAGACATTTGTAACTATATATTATATTGCAAAAGCAAACAGCACAACACTCACCATACTCATCATTATCCATTGTGTATACTACCTCCCAAAATGAAAATACAAAACAGTAAAATGCACCTATGGTTATATATATATATATAGTCTATATATATTATATATATTTGTACAATATATATAATATATATTTATAAAATATACATACATTTTTAGACATTTTCAAATAAATCTTCATAATTCTCTCCAAAAGAAATTTATAGCAAGAATACTGAAGGAATGAAAGTCAGATAAATGAAAATTTTTCACAAGGCTCATTATCAATGATGCAGCTCAATTTCCCCCCTTTTAGTCATACTAAAACGATTATAAAAATCTAAATACTTTGCATAACTAATTATTTGTTTAATGGCAAAAACTGCTAAACTTGTTTAATAGAAAAATACTGAAGGTCAGTGTATCACATCTGCTAAATAGGTGTCTATGGTCTGAGCAACACATGAGCTTCAGATGACAGCTGAGTTGGGAGGAGGGTGGTGCCAGCCCCCAGATCTAGCCAGAGTAAATGAAAACCAGGCAAGGGTCCCCACAGCCTGCTGATCTTCATACTGCTCCAACACTAATACTATGTCATCCAAAAGATCGAGGACATCTCAAGCGCTATGAAAGCAGTTTAATGACTGTGACTCTGTTCATTTGGTAATTTGAACTTTCAGTAGGCAGCGGGGGAAGGGGGAGTCAGACACATGTAGATGCCACTATCTGATTGGAAGACAGCTCTGGCTCATTTCTAAGCTGAAACCATACAGCTCTAGTGGAGAACACTCCCTCTCTTCATGTACAGTCTCCATTGGCACAGCACTGGCGTTCTACGGGACTTTCAACAGTGCCGCCCTCTGCACTCCAGTCTAGCTAGCTCGTGGTTATTCTCCATTCACTAACAGAAGGATTCCAACCACGAGACCTAAAATGGACAGGGAAAGAGAGCGCCTTAGCGGCATAAGCCAGGTAGGCACTGAAGACCTTGGAAGGTAATGAAAGCAGTAAAGAGTGGAACAATAGTTTTATGGTCATCCATCATAAAATACCAATAAGGGCACCTGGTTGCAATTTGCAAATGTTAGGTTAGCACCCTTCCTTCACTCTGTGAAGGACCAGAAGAATGCAATATGGAACACAATATGGAATTCTACATCTGCGTGGGAATGTAAACATTCACCTGACAGCTCTTGTCTAGGTCAACTCAATCGATAATTCAAAAGAGTCTCTTGAGCCTATTGTTAACCAAGATACAGATAAAATGAAATGATTTTTGTGTCACAATACTATAGCATATCTGTACAACATTCAGGAAAATTAGCACAAGTGCTTAGCTTAAAAGCAATTTTGACTATATATTGCAGAAGTCTCAAGATGCAGCTAAGCATAAATTTTAAATAATTGGCAATTATTACCTACATCACCAAAATATTCCCAGAAGTGTCAAATGGATTATGTGGGGAGAGGAATGCCAGAATTACCTGAATGGGTTAAAACATTTAGGAATATAATTTTTTGCTTTATAAGTCTGAAAGCCAGCTTATTGCATGAAAAGTTGAGTACTAATCATTTCTTTCTATCTTACAGATGGGCTTGTCCTTTTGGGCTAACAAGAGAAAGAGTATGAGAAGAACAGAGTTATAAGGTTTGGCTCTGTGTGACAGGCCCAAATTCAGATGGCAGGGTCAAAAATAACAACAACCTACGAGGTGATCAGATGTGGGCCACAGACAAGGTGGGCTCAGGGAAGCCTAGTCCTTTCAGGTATGCCCATTCCCCACCCCTTGCCCCCAAATACTGATTCACAGCCCATCAGACCATTTTATAATCCATTTAAAACACTGGGAGAGGGAATGAACCAGAACCTTTTAGTCAATGTTATATATTGAACTCTTTCACCTCAATTTCTAGGAGCTCATCTTCTTAAAGATATGAATAGAGGACTTGCTTCATTTTCCACTTCTGCAGAAGCAGCTGGCTGAGGTTAACCTTATTCTCTGGACGGCTAAAACAATTAAGAACTCCTTCTGGCAGGTGTCAGATCACACGCGTGTGAGAGACAAAAAAGAATGAACAGGTCATCTGAAACATGGCTGGTTATGTGGATGCTGATAAAAACAGTTATTTGCTTTTTTCAGACATCAAAAGGTAGGACTTCAATGATATGAAATAATCACTCTGGGACTATAAATATAACATGAACAAAAGGGAATTTTAAAATTAATAAAAATTATTATAAAGATATGCCGTTTTTCCTTAATAAACAGAATCGCAAACCTGAATAAGTTAAATCCTTTAGTAAGTGCAGACTGTATCAACTATTCCTCATGATAGTGAGTATCCAACAGCTAAACTTTAGAATGGTACCAAATCTATTTTCAAAAATGTTAACACAGACATCAGCCTGCAAACTAAATATTCGTTTAGCATTTCTGAATAATATTCTATTTAACATATTATTGCAGGTACCCGTCCACCCACCACGAATAGGTAAAATGCCAGTTGCTTTATGTGAACGGCTGAAGGGCGAGCTATATTAAAAACTCTTTTGAACACTGCCTGGCCATTAGGCCAAAGGGGTTAGTACAGCAGATATGGTAGATTACTGTGCTAACTACGTTTAACAAGGTTTCACAGGGGAGAGTTTCCATTCTTTCTCTACTCAAACCCACTCGTCAAGCTCTTTAAATGATCATACACAGAGCGCCTTATTTACTCAAATAGGAACAAACGGAACCCTTTCTTCGCCCAGGCTGGCCTAGCGAAAGGGAACAACCTCCAGGTACAAGCATCTACTAGGGGGAAATTGTGAAACCGTTTCCAGGCTCACGGATTTAGCTGAGCTTGCAGCAACCTGGCCACACCTTAGTTTTAGAAAACAGTATACAAATTGCGAAACTATACTTTAACAAATGTTCTCTGTGCTCCTTCAGCAGAACAAAAGGGCAGGCCGAGGTGCTTCCTGCCCTGGTTGTCTGTATCTCTTTGTGCCGTTGACAACTGGTAGAGAGCTAGGACGACGAGGACGCCTGGTGTCATACAAAGACTTTAGCCAGCGCGTCTGCTCCAGCACTGGCTATGTAGCATTTGGATGGGTGGAAAGCTACATCATGAATTGATTCCTCAAACTTTTTCCGATGAGCTGTGAACTCCTGAATACACGTCTTACTTTCTAGGTTCCATAAACGTATAGAACAGTCATGACCTATACACACAAAAAAGGAAATTGAAAAATAAGTTACCTTAACATGAAAATGATACAGGAAAACGAGTAATCTACAGTTGGGTATACTTACTGCCAGACATCAAGTACAGGCCATTAGGGTCAACTGCTAAACTTGTAACAGCTTCTAAGTGGGCTACCATGGAGTGGATCAATTTGCCTTTTGGAGGGAAAAAAACAGCAAGTATTACTGTCTCCTAAGGACTTCCTTCCCTCATCCTACAGAGATGCCAGCCAGCCTGTGAGGGTGGTTTGCCTGGTCACCCAACACTTACTGCAGCAACAGCTTTCCCATCAGCTACATCTACACATGCTTCCCTCCCACCTCTGCTCCTGGCAGAGAAAAAGGGCAGAAGCTCTATTTGTGAATATATTTTTTGCCTTTTAAACTACAGTTGGGATAATCAGTAATTTGTATACAAGTATCCCCTCAAGTCATGTTCATTAATTGGAACTTGGACATTATTAATCAGCTACTTTGCATGCTTTGGCTACAGGCAAATTATACAAGTTGTGGGAACAGAATTTTAAATCACAGAAAGAAGAGACTTAGAAATACAAAGGAACAGAGAAGAAAATCTAGCCACAATTTTTATGGAAACACTATGTGGGAATGGATTAAAAATATTACATAGCTCATCTTTAATGCAACTAGGCAAAGCCAGCAAAAGTCAACAAAGCAAAAAGCCACTACACATGTAAACACTACCCTGCTACCAAGGGTGCTTTTCCCCCCTGCCCAGCTTGGCAGCAGTTTCATTTAGACTGGAGACTGGGGAGGAGACTATAGCCCAATAAAAATTGGGCAAGTCCCAGGGGCCAATTCAAATCAATCAGGACAAATAGTATTACAACAGAAAGAAGTTTAGCCCATGAAAAAAACAAAACAAAAGAAACAAACCAAATGACCCAGGGAATTTCCATCATTAACAGTTGTTCAACTGTTCATTAATTGAGCAATTAAAAAAATTAAAACTATATATATGTATATATATAATGATCACATGCCTCTACTTCCCACCAAAATGGTATAGCAACAGATCATTTGTATTTGAAGACATTTTATTGTCTCTAAAAAGAGCTTTGGCTCCAGGACCTAAATATAGCATCTACTCAACATTAACTAAACCAAGATGATTCGATATTCAATAAGGAGGCTAGCTCCCAGCTGGTTTAAACTAATGAACAGAAACTGTGCTGGCAGAGTATTTGTTTCTGTGCTCATTCCGACCTACCTAATGGGGTAACGGTTTTGCTTCAACAATAATTAATGTTTAATTTATCCTCACCTGTATTGTTATCAAAGAACTTGATGTGCCTGTCTTCATGAGCAGTGATGCTGATAGGAAGAGTGGGGTGACTGATGACTCTATTAATTTGGCAGGAAGTAGTGGCTGCTAAAAAGGGAAAATGACAGAACACACATGAGTGAAGCTATCGTTTGCTTACACAAAGGAGAAATGAATACCCATCTAATGGGTTGAAAAGTCAATGTGACGTTAATCGGCCTTCAGTTCATTATTGATTGCTTCCACATTTCAGGATTAAGAAAGGAAGATCACCTGAGCTATACTGACAACTCTAAAGGGACCTACTAAAATTTCCTGTTCCACTACTGCTACCTCAGCATGCCACCTATGGCTTAGCCCAGAGCCTTGGACATTTCTCTTTAGCCAATTGCTTCTGCTACTTTAATAAATTGTTACTTACATGTAGGTATTCCCTTAATTTAAATCTCAGCTATTTCTACATATCTCGGATTCTTTTAACACATAGGAATCATGTGAAAAAAAACACGATGAGTGTCTTAACTCTTAATTTTGCCATTTCTCACTCTTTCTCCTCATAAAAGAAATGCTCATCATTTGACAGTCCAACAGGTTTAGAATTTTAAAATAGTCAGCATCTCATCAACCAAACCAAGCCCACTGCCTGCCATTCCAGCAATGGCCAACTCAAGGCTACCCTGAAGGACGAAGTCCAACCGCTCTCCAGGGTTTCCAAGGACAAAACTCTTGATCAGAGCAGGGAACTTACTCTTTCTCTTGGCTAGCTGGCGGCTCCAACTGCTGACACTTTGGTTAGCAGCTGAGGACTGACCCACAGCACCCGCCAGGCCTCCATGTGTCCTAATTGCACCCTATATTTGCATAGTATTTAACAAGTGTTCAAAGAGATGTCAATTATGTGCATAATGAGGCTAATGGGTCACATCATGAGGCCCAAAGTACAGTGAATGAACCAAAATGCAGGGGGAGATGGTGACTTCCTACAAATCAGGTGGAAAAGCCAGAGCTTGTTCCTGGTTTTCTAACTCTACCCAACACATGCTGTTGTGATCAGCTGCCCCTGCGTCAGCCCCAGCTCCTGGAGAGCTGTGCACAATGGAATGCGACTGCCATGCTCCACAGGGTCTCAGACATTACCTTTCCTCCTAGTCAGTCTTCATCTAGAAGGTCTGCTGAAACGTGTTCACTGTCACAGGAACACGAGTGGCAAACAAGTGGTGGTGGAACGGAGCCTACACGGCTTTCCAACTAGATACCAGTCATTGTCAAGGCTGGTACACAAGTTCCCTCTGGCTTTCATCAAAAGGAACCCAATCATTTAAAACAAGTTCAACCAGCGATTGTCAGATTGCTTTTATAAGAAAAAGGTATACAAATAGTCCCAGAATTACAGCATATTGAAGCTACAATGAACCGTACCTATGGTGTCTACTTTTGAGGGGTGTTTTATAATCTTACCATTAGTAATAATGAGGGGCGTCAGAGAGTTGGTAGAAAAAAGGATTTACAAGATAAGGGACTTGAGTACAGGGGAAGGCTCTACACATAGAAGGGTGGTTAGAAAAAAAATAGTAATGGCAAGAGAACACACTGGGAGTCTTGCAAGTATTACAGACAACAGAGGCAAATTCTGCTATATACAAACTCTGGGAACAGTGGGTAGTCTATGAGTAGAATTATACTTTATACATTCCCACCTGAAAAACATTTTTTTAAATGAAGAGATATGTCATAATATTTCATATTTCAACCAAAAGTCACAAAATCTTAACTTTCATATTTCTGAGTCTTTTATACACAAACAGCAAGTTCTAGTCATGCCTACTTCCCCCAAAGAATTCTTACAGGGTAAGAGAAGAAAAGAAATAACTGGGAAGAGGAAAAAAGAATAAAGAAAACACTTGAAAGTGAGTGAGAGACAGATACGTATATACTCGTGTATTAAGCCGAGTTTTTCAGCACATTTTTATGCAGTTTTTGTGGTAAGATTAGGGCCTCAGGTGATATTCAGGTCAGCTTATACTCGAGTATATACAGTACATAAAAACTCACTGCCTTGGAGTCAATTGTGATTCACAGCTACCCTATAGGACAGAGCAGAAATGCCCTGTGAGTTTCCAAGACTAGAAATCTTTATGGGCGCAGAAAGCCTCCTCTGTCTCCTAAGAAGGTGAACGCAAATTGCTGACAGACACATACACTGTGGTAGCTGGTTCTCAGACTGAAGCAGCAGTGTATGTGTGGAGGCCATTGGTGGTGCTTCAGTGGTATTCTTGCTCTCCTTCCATGCAGGAGGCACGGCAATACACTCGTGCATAGTCACCACCTGTCTGTCACTGCAGGCTTGTATTTTGTTATGATACAGAACAGGTTTCTGCAAAGCTTCCAGATTAAGAAAGACTAGGAAGAGAGGCTGAACAATCTACAGTATTTCAGAAAACTCAGCCAGTGAGATCTCTATTGGATCATCATGGTCCAACCTGCAACTAATCAAGGGGATGAGGCAAGGCTGGGCAGCACTTCGTCCCACTGTGCTTTGAGACGGACACAGGCTGCAGCAGCTGACATCGTCAGATGTGCATGTGTGGTTTTACCAAGTGTGGATAAGGAAAGAAGGCAATGGCTAAAAAACCCACAAAACCAAGAGACTCCGATGTATTCTTCGAAGCCTAAGAAAGCATTTACTTTTGAATTTTTATAGTCAATAAGAATTGCAGATTTAACAAGTATATAAATGTGCTTGACACAATGGATGGATGGATTGTGATAAGAGTTGTACAAGCCCCAATAAAATGATTTAATTAAAAAATTAAATTTGATTAAAAAAAAAGAATTGCAGATTTAGGACGCCAAAGTGGTAACCTTGATCTATATGCTTATCAGTATTAGACTTTGCCAAATTTTTATCACCAATATGAAAAATTAAATTATGAGAAATGAAAAATAAAGTACTGAATCAAACACAGACAATTTTAAAATTGGTCTACATACTTGTATCCAGGTTGGATTCCAAAGTAAGAATACGTTGCTGGGTTTCCATGTTAAAGATGCTTGTGTATCCTTTGCTGAATGACGCTACCATAAGGCTAGGGTCACTGCTCACTAAATCCACAGAGGCAGGGATTCCTAATTCTAAAAGAATTTAGAACACATTCAAGGAGACTTTTAATTAGAGGAGATATTTTAAAATGACAGGAGTTTCTCAAGAAGTTAATAAGGCTTTCTATTAGAGCAGTGGTTCTCAAGCTGTGAGTCACGACCCCTTTCACAGGAGTCGGCATAACAGGAGCAAAATTACAGTTATGAAGTAGCAACGAAAATAATTTTATAGTTGGGGGGGTCACATCAACATGAGGAACTGTATTAAAGGGTCGCGGTGTTAGGAAGGTTGAGAATCACTGCTCTAAACCATTCAACAGAGACTATTTTCCTCTATTACTTTTTAAACTTAAGCCATTTATTTGATCATCCTTTAAGTGTTCGAAAGAATTTCTACCAGTAAACCAGCTAATGTATTCTAAGAATGCAAGTTAATTTGAATATCACCAGAAGAAAATAAGAAATTAAGCAGAGATTATGGTCTTAAACCTAAGTGTCTTTATTTAAAATTCAAACAGGAAACAGTTATAAACTATTTATAAGTTTTACTCCTGCTAACCTCGTTTGGGGCTTAGCATGGCATAGAGGAGCCTCCATTTAAAACTCAGCTGTTACTAGGAATTCTAACTCATCAGAAATACAGCGTTTAACAAGTCACGCAAATATCAAGCGCAGAGAACTCATTAAAGCCTAGAGACGAGTTATGATAGCTGAAGATTAAGGAGGGTGTTTTAATTTATCACTCAGAATGTTATTTGGAACTTATTTATAAAAATTTAAAATATAATAATATATACATACATATATATATATATTATTTAGCTCACAATCACAATCAAACTAAAGGTTGAAAGCATTATGTATCACAAGGGAAAATTATAAATGGTTACTAAGCACACACTTAATTAGCATCAAAGAAATGCAAATTGAATCCACAATGACAGCTGCACCAGAAGGTCTACTATATGATAACTTGTTGGTAAGGATGCAGAGCAACTGAAACTCTCCTACATTATTAGCAGGAATGTAAAATAGCACAATAAACACACACTCTAAATCCAGCAATTCTACTTCTACTTATAAGTCTTTATTCAAGAATAATAGCACATGAATGATCATAGCAGCTTTATTCAAAATAGTCAAAGCCTGGAAACAACCCAAATGTCCAATAGAGAAAATTAAATAATTGTAGTGTATTCATATGACACTGTTAAACATGAAAAATAAACGAATTTGCAGTACTTAAAACATTAATTAGTTGCAAAAACATTATAGTAAGAGAGAAATAACCTGATACAAAGAACACTGTATTCTTCCATCTCTATCAAGCTTTAGAGTAGACAAACGAATCTCTGCTGAAAGGAGCACAGCAGTGGATGCAGCGGGATGGGGGGCTGGGCTGGCTAGAGGCGAGGACTGGCTGGGAAGCTCACAGAGCGAGTGACGGGAATGCTCTGTATCCTGACAGGGGTGCGTTACAGAGGGGCATACATTTGTCAAACTCACTGAAACGTTTACTTAAGACATGGTCTCAATACATATTAATTATATCTCAATTTTAAAATATATTATGTGTGCTCTTTTGCCAAATACTATCTAGTTAAAATTATATAAGCTTGAAATTCAAACAATCATACTTTTGTAGCTTTAAAATTTTTCCATATTAAACAGTAGGAGTTCATATAATTATTTACAGAATAAGATATTTTATAAAAGACTCGGGGGAAGGGTAATGTACCTTGATTATCATTAAACACACTCAGGGCTGGGGCCGCCTCAGTTGTGCTCCACAAGCGCAAAGTGCCATCTGCTGAACAGGACAGTAAGCGCTGATGTGCTGCACTATACGCCAAGCCCCAGACTGCATCTGTGTGGCCTAGTAGAGGGCCTCTTAAAACAGAAGGATCTGAACAAAACAGCAAAAAGTAAAAAAATCAGGAGGAAAAAACAAGTCATAAATATATTTAGATTCCAAGGAAAATAAAAACATAAACAAAAAGCCCTTGATACTGCATAAAATATGCTTTCTAATGTCTTATTAATCATTTCAAGGATAGCATGAATAAAAACAAGACTTGGAAATATAGAAGCTAAAATTAAAGAGCACTTTTCTTTTCCTGTCTTTAAAACTTAGGTATCTCCTTCCCCTTGCTCTTACCATTCCTAAGGGTCAATCTCCCATTTGGATTTAAAAATAGCATGTTACCACAAATCATCTGAATTTACTCTTCCTCATAGAAACATACATTCTCTCAGCAAGTGAACAGATCCTTCCCTCTTCTGAACTACCGTCAGCATTCTATAAATGCCTCCCTCATGCCACCGACCCTACTCCACTATGAATGACAGTTATTCCAACGAGCAGCATGTTGGTGGCCTGACGCCTGCAGAGATCCCCCAACTCTCACATACCACTCACGGAGATGTGGACGTTGTCTGCGCGTGTCATTTTACACAGTCTCATAGTAAATCAGCTAGAAGCTCTGAGACATTATTAACCCACACAAAGACTCTAGGGAGTAATACTCGCACATGGCTCAGAGATGTTAGGTCTAAAATTTCCAAAGGTGGTGCTGCTATCTTATTCTCTCAAACACACCCATCACGTCTTTGTTGTACACACACCATGTGTCAACATTATGCTAGAAGCTGGAGTCGTACAGATGATGAAAACACTGCGATCCCTGTCCACCAGAGCCCTGGAAGTCTCCTGGAGAAGACCGTGTGACTAGAACAACAGAGACAGACGCCAAGGACCAAGGCACGTCTCTGGAGAGAAGCCACCTCTAGAGAAGATGGCTGACATCAGGGAACATCTTCCCGGCAAAGGAACAACAAAAACAGCTGAAGGAAAAATAGTGTGTATGTGAGGGAAAATGATAAGCAATCCAGCAGAAGTGAATGAGCTGAGTGAACTCGTTTGTGGTAGGATTCCTCTAACATGCTAAGGAACGTAACATGTTAAGAAAGCAACAGGGAACCACTGAAGGGTTCCCAAAGAACAGCAGGGTTGATTAAGTATTTAGAAGAGAACATTAGCCAGCTGCAGTGCTGTAATGTAAAAGAGAGACTGGGCAGAGTAGCAAGATGAAGCAATGGGAAACGCTCCTAGAAGGCTAGGCAAACGAATGAGGACCTACTCTACGGCAACAGTAAAGCACCAAAGCGGAGGACATTCATGAAATATAAAAAAAACCAGGTATCTAATAGTCTATGAGTAAAGGAGACCAATTTTCTCTGTCAGCCTTCACCTAAATATGTCTAGTCTGAGTAGTAGGCACAATAGGGCATCAATGATGACAGATTTCTACTCAAGTAATTCTGGTGGTGCCGCCAACTAATAAGGCAATGAAGAGCACACAGAAACAAAGAATGGTGGGATTTCCTGACAAGAAAACATACACTCTGAGATTTTCTGAATTGGTGTGAGTCCTAATGAGAATGTTATGAATCAATAACATGTACACCATGCACATGGATTGAACCTCCCAAAGAAAGTCAGAATCCTGAAAAATTAGTTAGGCCTTGATAAATGTCAATATTTAGGTTAAGAAAGATAAAAGGAAAAAAGCTAGAAAAAAATGATCACAGTGTAATTTTAAAAGAGCCAACAGAGGAGACACATTTTTAAAAAATGAAGTGGTTAGCAGTTTCAGATCCAGCTAATAGATTTAGTTACTATAAGTATTTTAAAAATACCTCTGAGGTCAGGAAATTAATTTAAATGCTGTTCCCAGAATATAGAAGGATGATATAGAGAGAAGGCAAACATGAGGATGACACAGAACTGGGCAATGTTTCCTCCTGTGGTACAGAGGGTCACTGCGTTGGAAGTAACCCACCTGCACCACCATTCATGTTTTAGGAATCCCTGGGTGGTGCAAATGGTCTCCGCTCAACTACTAGACAAAAGGCTGGTGGTTCAAACACACCCCTCAAAAGACAGTCCTGGTGCATCTTCTTGCAGTCACCACAGCCTTGAGAATTAGTTCTACGCTGCTCACCTGGGGTCACCAAGAGTTGGAATCGACTCCAAAGCAACACGCCCCTCCCTCGCCCCCAAATGTGCTTTGTAGACAATACAGTGAAAGAAACTTAGATGATACGGGAAAAGAATGAAATAGAAGACGTAAGTGGGAATGGTCAATCA